AGCCCTCTCGTGGCTTGCAGACTTCGACGTTGGCATTTAGCTCCGGAACATCTTTGCCAAACGCAAGAATCGAATAGAATTGAAGCTCCCGTGTGCCGGTTTGTATCAGCACATCGACGTGCAGACGAGATGCGAGTCAACTTTGTTTATAACCAGACCAGAGCTGAAAAGAGAGCAGATGGTCTCCTTTCCAAGATAAAATATAGCAAGGGCGATGAAAGAACCCCAAACATAATGTGGTACAAGTGAAACACATACAACAAAAAACACATAGGTACGCCTTAATATATATGAACGATATGAAATATATGCAGGAGTTAAAAAGGATATTGAAGCGGTGGCATAGTTGTTAGCGCACTGCGCTGTGAACCCAATGCCCCGAATTCGATTCCTGACCACGGCAAACATCAGCTGTGAGTGATAACCAGTCATACCCCACCCCCCAAGGCCTCTCACCAACTCACACTGACCAGCGTGACGAAGTTTGGTCAATCAACCTCCGCGAAGTAATACAACAAAAAATTATGAGAAGATTTTTACCCTCCACGAACTGACACAGCATTGGGGTGGCCTTCATCCAACAGTGGTTTGGCGAAAAGTCTATATAAACTATCATGAAGATATTATTAATTCATGTTAAATTATACTTTGTATTCAACCCCCCACGGAGTTAATAACGGCATTAAGACGGCATGTCCTTGGAGTATGTGTGAGTCGGTGGACAATCTCGAAAGATAATACCCGCTATTGTAAAACCGCGTTGTTGTTGTTGTTTTACGACCGTATTCTCTTCGGGATCTGCGGACGTCACGTCGACTACGAGACGTGCCATTGTACGGACGCGTGGCGCATCACAGACACAGCTCACGACACTCGTACACACACAAGACAAAGATCCCCCGTAAAGCCTCTAATAGACTGTTTGGGGGGGCAAGTGCTTTTAGCGAGCGCCTATGAAGAAACCGGCACGGCACACGAAGGAAGGGGGGGGGGGAGTGGCCAGCATCACCCGCGGTCGCCTTTGTCTCCCCAGACCTGATGTTGAATAAACACCGCGTAGGGTGTTCACTTTTAAGGCTGAGTCGACCCGAGAGAAGCCCCGGGTCCGGTTGCAATGTTCTTCACTGTTATTGGTCGTGAGTGGCAATCGCAATGGGGGTGACCCGGGTCGAAGCACGGTGCGCTAACCGCTGTGCCACCGCTCCCTCCCGCCGACCCCGTGCATGCGTACACACTGACACACACACACGCGAGTAAGGCATCTACAGCGACGTGAATAGATCATCCTAGTAACACGAGCATCGCCTTAGTAAGCGTAACATCGCATTAGTTACGGAAATGCATTATTCATCTTCAAGCGACTAATTATGCCTGCTTATTGTCACCTGCTAATAAACTCATCACGTGGTATAAAAAAATGACCGTACATACAACCACGTTAATCATGCGACGGCGTGCTATGCATTCGATCCCAATTGCGAGCGACTGTAAATACACAGCCATCGCTGTCAATTCGCTCAAATTGCGATTTAACAAACAAACTAAAATCCCATCAACGGCTGAAAAACACTTTCCCTGAGGTCGATTCTATATATTTTTTTAAGTAGAAATACAAAGTTCAAGAGAGCTTCCGGATCGTCACGGAGAGCAACAATGAATGGACGTTAACGGGGGATAGACGATGCTGGTAAGAGAGGCGATAACGCATTGAAGCGATCTCACTTAATACAAATAAAAACATACGCACGTGAAACACAACGCGGAGCGACGGGCCACGTGCGCATTTAAGTGCCCCGTACATCGTGTACCGTACGCCTACAAAGACAAAGGTCCCTCCATGTAACCTTAACTGACTTTTGGAGGCAATTGCTGTTCGCGAGCACCTATGCAAGGCATGGAACGAGGGGTTGGCCGGCCAGCACCACGCACGCCTGCACCGCGTGCGCCTGCCGCCGGTCGCGATATTTCCACACCAGATACTCATTTTGAGGCTGAGTCGACCTCGGGGAGGCCCGGGACAGGGTTCAGACAATTTGTCAAACGGCGTCGAACTCGAGTGTCCACCGCTCCCCGTGTGTCGCACGGTCATCGGCAGTCGTGTTAGGCCTGCAGGGACCAAAGCGTGCTTCGGCGGCACCTATAAACGGGCGGCATTTGCACGCGAGGTGGCGGTGTGGACGGCACCGTCAGGCTTCCGCTCGCGGTGTCCGGTGCTGAGACACTGGCAACGCGCCGCACTCGTTTGAAGGGGTCAGTCGCGACTTGACGGGAGGGACACGGCGACAAGGGAGCGCTCGTTGATGCGGACAGTCACAATGCGGGCCGCGGCAATGGAATGAAGCGGAGCATTCGTGGCGCGACCCGGCCACGCGACCCGGCCACGTTGACAGCACTCCCCGGCACGACATAGATGTCCCCGTCCGTGGTGGTGGGGACATTTTGGTGGTGGTCCAGATGTCTTGTGACCCCCCCCCCCACTTGATCCTCTAAAACTTAATATTAGCTTTTTTAAAGTAAGGTTTATTTTAAAAAATAATTAACATGCAAATAGAAAATGTGTTTAAGGGGTGAATTAACCGGGCGGTACCACAAGGTGCCTGTTAGCGAGCGTCTATTAAGGCCGGCACCGCGACTTGCAACAACAACGCAGCGCGGGCAGGGGGTAGCCTTAGACGTGCAGGGTCGGTCGGTCGGACGAGCAGCATCTCCTGCGTTTGCCGACTGCCTGTCTCTCTCTCTCGCTGTCTCTCGCTCTCTCTCTCTGTGTAAGGCTGCAAGGCTGCCTGCTGATGTGTGCCGCTGCCGATGGCGCTGAATAAATGTCGGCATACATTCTACAGGGCGACAGCACACGGACACGCGCAGTGACGCGCGCACGCGGTCCGTTGCGGGGGTGTCGTTATAATGTATTGTATTGTGATGTATTGTTATTGTATTATCATGGATTATGATGTATTATCATCATGGTTTTTTTTTACATCGCAAGATTGCGAGAGATCGCTTCGGCGGCACGGGGAAGCCTTCATCCAGCAGTGGGTTGACCGTCAATGAGTGCCCGTGTATATGAAGTCTTTTAAAGCGTGGCGAGCAGAGGGGTGTGGGTGTTATACCTACAACTCTCCTTCGCCACTTCGTTCTAAGGTACACAATAACACCCTCGCCCCCAGCAACCCTTCTGGAGCGTTATACACCCAGGATGTTGGAGCAAAGTGTTGTCAGCGAGCACCTATGAAGATCGTGACGACACGCGGCGAGGCTGTGTTGCGAGTACCACGCCCGACCGCATTTGTCTCCCATGTTTCTTGAAGTTCACGTACCGCGCTGGGTTTACAATTGAATGCGCAGTGGACCAAGGGGGGGCAGGCAGTCCCAGTGAAACCAGATTATCCGTGGCCGGCAATGGAACTAAGGTCGCCTGTGCTCTAGCCCATCGCGCTAACTTACTGCTCCACCGCTCCACCCTCACAGATACAAAGTTACAAACGCCGCGAAACTCCCCGATAAGTGCCCAGCCGTCTCTATCCACTCGCCATCCTCCAGCCGTTCCCTTGAAAAAGCCGTCAAAACGCGTGACTTGTTGTAGCACGGAGTTAGACTGATGGCCTTAATCTAAGTTTTCTTGTGGTTGTGGTTGTTGTTGTTGTTTGACTTGCATCCCACTGGGATTTTGTGCACACAGCGTTGGTGTACGGCGCTTTTTTCAGGAATATTTTTGCTGGTTTTTTTTCCATGGATTTTCTGTTTGCACAGTCACACATAGTCACTTTAAGATGTTTTTCTTGTTCGTGTTTTTGTTTTTTTGTTTGTTGTGATTGCGCCCGATTCAAGAGCCGAATGGCTCACAGGGCTATACCAAAGTAAACTGAACTGAAACTGAACTGAATTGAACTTTGTGGATTCACCCGGGCCTGCTTAATGGAGACATCAGCGACTACGTCCTGCACACAGCTAGGTGATGTGGCACCCAGAAAGCAACGTCGTAGAGTGGTGGTTTCGAGTGAGCGAGCGAGCGAGTGTGTGTGTGTCTGTGTGTGTGTGTCTGTGTCGGGAGCGGTGGTGTAGCGGTTAGCGTCACGCTGCGCTATGAACCCGGCGACCCGGGTTCGATTAACGCTCACGGCCAATACCAGTGACGATTATGAATCTGAATCGGTCCTGGGCCTCCCCTAGGTCGACTCAGCCTCAAATGAGTACCTGGTGCGGTGTGTAAACATCGTCACCGGGGAGACAAAGGCGGTCGGGCGTGGTGCTGGCCACCCACCCCCTCGTGCGCCGTTCCGGCCTTTATAGGTGCTGCTCGCTTACAGCACTTGCCCCTACAGTCTGTTGAGGCTATACGGGGGGGCATTTGTCTTTGATCTTTGTGTTTTGTCTTTGTGGGGAGCGGTAGTGTAGTGGTCAGGGTGCGCTGCGCTAAGTAACTCGGCGACCCCAGTTCGGTTGCCGCTCACCAGTGACGACTATCTAAACCGGCCCTGGACCTCCCCCCTCTAGGTCGACTCAGACTCAAATGAGTACCTGGTGCGGTGTGTAAACATCGCCACTGGGGGAGACAAATCAAGATTATCTAGAGGATCTTTGTCTTTGTGCATCCGTGTGTGTGTGTCGACGTCCAGTACGGTCATTGGTCATTGCAGACAGACACGCGCGCCCACACACACACACACGAGTGATGTGTTTGTATGTAGGTACGATAATATATGTGCGTGTGTGTGTAGCTGTCATGCACGATCGTTGGTCGCCGGCTTGAAACACACGCACGCACATACACACACACGAGTGAATGCGTGTGTACGCGCGTGTATATGCATGCGTGTGTACGTGCGTGTGGCTGTCAGGCACGCTCATTGGTCGCCGACTTGAAACGCGCAGACACTGACGCGCGCGCACACACACGACTGTTGTGCATGCGCGCGCGTGTGGCTGTCAGGCACGCTCATTGGTCACCGGCTTGAAACACACACGCGCGCGCACACACACACACGTACATACACACGCGAGTGCCGTGCGTGAGCGAGTGAACGCGCGTGCGTGCGTGCGCGCGCGCGTGTGTGTGTGTCGCTGACCAGCACGCTCATTGGTCGCCGACTTTGCAACACACACACGCACAGACACACACACAGACACACACGCAAGCGAGCGCAGCGCTGTTTTACGCTCGGGGGTGTGGCTGTTACACCACCAGCAAGTGACGCCGCCGATTTTCGCTCGACTTCCGCGTCTTTAAAATGATCTTGACAAAGCGCTCCTCCTCTGTCTTTGATATCGGCCCGCCTACCGAAAACAAGCGACCGCTCGTCAGTGCAGCCGCAAAGTAAGTGCGTTCACGGTGACCACCACCACCACCACCAAGACACTGGCACAAACACACACGCCACAGCACACGTTATCCACTGCGGTGCCTCTGTTTGACCAACGCAGCAGCAACAGCAGTCAGCTGTGGCAGCAGCAGCAGCAGCACATTTAGCGCATTTTCTACAACTGTGTGATCACAGCTGAAATTAGCAGCGCAGTGGGAGCGGCGCGCGCGCGTGAGTGTGTGAGTGAGTGCTGTCAATTCTCTATTCACGCGCTGCCGAGCCTATTCGCGTAACGGCACGAAAGGTAGAATACTCAATCGACGTTGCGTCCTGTCTCATCGTCGCTGCCATCTCCCCGCTTCTGCCAAGGTGCGTGTTATGTAATCGGCGCATCGAGTGATCATCATCCCTCGCTGTCTTTTGATTTCTGTCGAGTCCGTTCGTTGTATGCGCGCGGTCTGCGCTCCTTCAACGGAGGACGAATGGCAAAACTACCACGAACCGACCGCTAGAACCTCTCGTCGTGGCCAGCACTGGCGCTTAGCTCCCGAACCACATCGCTACTGCCATCGGTAAGAATCTCACCTCCCATTGTCGCCGTTGGCTGCGTGCCGTGCGAAAGAAGTTCAACGTACGCACGGAAGAAGCGAATGCGTGTGTGCCGAGCGCTACCGTCTTCAACGAAGTACCGTGTCGGTCACGTTGAACGCGATATTTATATGTCATGATATTTAAGTAATGCGCTTACTTATCAGTCGCCGGATTAACCGCGAAAGGCACGCTTTAACGCTGAAGCATCGCTAAAAATAAAAAATAAAGCAACGACAAAAAAAAACATTAGCGGCGGGTATTGTTTTGGTAATGCTGGAGGCGAGATTAGCTGTGAGCTACATTGCCCCTTCGCCGCCAAAGCCGAGTAGGGTCGCTGCATCGCCACCCCTTGCAACGTTGTGAGAAAGGAGAGGCCGCGCAAAGATTATCTGTGGGTTTTTCTCGCCCACACGGCCACCACCACCACCAACCAACCACCAACCACCAACCACCACTGCCGCCACCACCACGCATGGCTTGCTCGAGCAATGCCTGCCCCTAGCTGGGCTTGTGCATGGGCTTAGCTGATGAGGCAATTCAGAGGGCGAAAGGCGCCCCGTATCACCCGCGCTGAATGTAACTCTCGCTCCTTCCCGCAAGACGCGGAGTGAACAATATCTCGGCGGTGTCGCCACGCAGGAAAGTCGTCGTAGGGCAAATGTCGCGTGAGGTTTTTTTTTTTTGTGCGCGTGTATTTTTGACTTGGAGCGGTTGTTTTCGAGTCGGTATCTGACCTAATGATAGAACACTCGCGGGCATGTCGACTCCAAATGCGTTCCATTCGTCAACTTTCTTCTCGATGCTCAGGGTCTACCCAGTAGTGTAATTAGCAGTCTCTACCCCGGTCAAACAACCGCTCTTCCCTCTCTCTTTCTCTCCACCTCTCTCTCCACCTCTCTCTCTCCACCTCTTTCTCTCTTTCCACCTCTCTCCCCCACCTCTCTCTTTGCTCTGAAGAAGGGCTGTTGCTCGAAACGTCAGTCCATTGCACATTTGGCTACTGCTTTCGAGCCAACGTTGAAAGCGTTCCATGCGTTAGCTTCGTCTTTGCAGTCTGCGTCTGATAACGGAGGGGAGAAGACTCGCACGACGATAACCGCTGTAAAGGTGACCAAGTTACGAATGAAATTGGAATCCTCCAGTGAGACACTGAGTGAGTGCTCTTGGCGAATTCTGCGGTGTCTTTTCGCGCATTTGTGCGCGTGCATGTAATGCTGGACGTCTTTCGCACGGTACGTAGCCAACCGTGCTAATCTGAGGTGCGAAGTGCGTGCGCGCGTGTGCACCACAATGCTAATCGCAGCCTCGCAACTTTAAAGTTTTGCCAACGCTGGACCACCGACACTCAAGTGAAGAATAATGCGCGTCGAGCCCCGCTCTTGCTCGCTGCGTTGCTGGCAGGGAGTGCAGGGAGTTCAGCGCAGGCAGGCCAAGTCGAAGCAGTTCGTGTTATTATCAAGTCCGGGGTTCGCCGCGTGAAGATTGATGCTTTACAGCGCACATCTGTGCATCTGTTGAAGGCAGTTGGAAGCTATTAAAAATAGAACAATACTGCCTGTTCCCGACCGTTAGAAATAGCCTTCCTCGTACGGTGCCGCCTCCCCTCTCTCTCTCTCTCTCTCGCACGGGGGGTATAGCTGCTTCTATTACCGGGCCCATGGTTTGTGCGTGTGAGTGTGTATATGTATGTGTGTATATGTATGTGTGTGCATGTGTGCGTTTTATTAAGGTGGGGAGAGGTGGGGTAGCGGTTAGCGCGCTCCGCTAATATTCACGCTCACGGACAACATCGGTGACGGTTATCCGAACCGGTCCTGGGCATCCCCTAGGTCGACTCAGCCTCAAATGGGTACTTTGGTGCGGTATGTAAAAAAAAAAAAACATCGTCACTGGGGAGACAAAGGCGGTCGGGCGTGGTGCTGGCCACCTACTTCCTCGTGTGCAGTACCGGCCTTAATATGGGCTGGCCAACAGCACTTGCCATAACAGTCTGTTAAGGCTAAACAGGGGATCTTTGCATGTGTATGTATGTGTGTTTTAAACCACGCTTTCTTCGATTTGTTATGATTGTTGTTTGTTGTTATCAGAATCATAACATGTATTTATACTGGGGAAATCCGATGAGCTCTAAAGCTCTTTCACACATGTCCAGTAGTTATCTCACGAGGAAGTGTTCCACGAGTCGAGGTGTTGTAGCAACTGAGTCAGGATTGTGACTTGAGAGCGAAGAGTATCCCGTCGGCGTCGTCCGTTTCACCCCAGCACGAAACGTCGGACATCGTGCCGAATAACCGCCACGGTGCAAAGATCGAAACCGCAATCGGACATCGGAGCTCGGACAGCCAACGCAGCCGCGACAACCCCCACGGGGAGTGGTGGTGGTTGTAACTGTGCGCATTCTACCCCAATTGCTCCGCGTCTAAAACAAAAAGAGGATCGGACGATTTGCCGGAATTTATACTCTTTGGTTCTATTGGGTAAAGCCACGTAGGTAAAAAATAAAATAACAAAAATCGCGACGTTTCGGCCACAACACAAGCGGCCTTCATCAGGTCCCTTCACCTATAGAACCAAAGAGTATGGATCCTTGCAGTCACGAAAGCTTTAAATCTAGAATTGCCGGAATTTGCCAGAATTTGAATATTCCGGCAAAAGCGCCCGATAAAGCTGGTGGAAGTGATTACCAGCGAAACGTCACGGCAATCAAATTGCAAATGTTGTGGATTTACTCTCCAACACACCGGTGGGGCTGAAGTACACTATACACTACACACTGATATCCACTACACTATACACTATACGAGTAACTCATTGGCGCGTTGTTAACGTGACAAATCCCTTACTAATCGGCTGTGTCGGGTGGTCGAGGGTTACGACACAACATTTATACTTGCGCGATCTAACCCGAAACACCTTCATCGTGAAAAAAGGATCCGAACCGCGATGTCACCAAATCACCGAAGGTGTTGCGGGGCGAGGGGGGCCACTTTGACAAATGGTTACCACGGTCCGGATTGGCGCAGCTCGCCAACGTCGCCGTGGCCGTGAAGACTCGCGCACGGGAGCGCAACGTGGTGTGTGGCCGGGCAGCACAGCAAGAGCAGCACAACTTGTGAAACGTTGAGTAAGGCTCCGCGTCTGAAATGTCATCTTCACGGAATGCTCTTTTTGTTGTTGTTGTTGCTGCTGCTTGCACGGGTGTCGGTAGGTTCGTTGATGAGATTTGTGTTATTCGACACCGCGCGTGTCTTGCCCGTGTGTTTAACGCGTAACGGGGGAGCGGTGGCGCTGTGGTTGTTCGCACTGAGTTATGAACCCGAGTTTCGGTTCCCGCTCACGACCAACAACTGTCGCGGCGAATAATCTGAACCGTTTCTGGTCCTGCCTTGGGTAGACTCGGCCTAAAATGTGTACTTGGTGCGGTGTGTGAAACATCAGCACTGGGGAGAGAGGCGCAGGCAATGCCGGGCGTGGTGTTGCTACGTGTGCCGTTCCGGCCTTCAGAGGTGCTCGCTAACAGCACTTGTCCCAACAGTCTGTTAAGGCTATACGGGGGATCTTTTGTTTGTTACGTGTATGGCTCGATACATACACAACAGAGCTCACCAATTTTACTTTTGGCCGCAACACAGATTTGTTTTCGCCTGTCCTGGGCTAGAAGCGATTATTACAGAGAGAGAGAGAAAAAAAAGCAGTGATTCATTAACTTTCCCCGGGATCTATTAAACTTGGTCATTTCAATCAAAGTACACGCACGCGCGGAGATTATATGCGAACGAGGAGAGGTCACAGAGTACACGAGTCGCGAATGAATCAGCTGTGAGTTATAGTCTTAAGGAATTAAATTAGACTTCGTATAATCATCAGCAGCAGCAGAAGCAGCAATGATCAATCCACTGCTAGATGAATACGGTTTCTCAGACCTTTCCCGCACGATCAATTAAACTCAGTTATTTTCAATCATTTTACAAATACAAAGATCCCCCGTATGGCCTTAACAGACTGTTGGGGAAAGCTCACCTATGAAGGCCGGAACGGGACACGAGGTGGGGGGGGGTGGGGTGTTGGGCAGCCCCACGCCCGGCCACCTTTGTCTCCCTAGTGGAAAATGTTTACACATCGCACTAGGTACTCACTTGAGGCTGAGTAGACCTAAGGGAGGCCCAGGGCCGGTTCAAATAATCGCCACTGGTGTTGGTGGCCGTGAGCGAGGATCGTATTGGGGTCGCTGGAGTTTGTGTTGAAGCACGCGGTCACACGGCACTCGGGTACGAAAGGCGACCGCCGCGTTCATCGTCATCCCCATCACCATGAACCATGGTGAACCTGCTGCTGAATGAAGACTTCCCCACGCGGTCGTCATCTCTCACGGGCCAGCGACGTCAACTATCCATCCCAGCGCAGGGCACCAGCACTGAATTCTCGAACTTCTCGAACTTTTGGGCCACGTAGAAGGGCCATTGAGCGAAACGTCGCCTAGTTATTGTGTTATTGTAAGACGATAGTGTCATTGACGAATGGTGTTGATCATCATTAGACCTCCTTTGCCAGTACCAAAATATAATAATAGGGTTTTTTTCCCCTTTTTTATGTTGAGTTTATCACACTTAGTGTGTAGCGTTGAAATGTGACAGTCGATGTGTTAATGCGTCGATGTATATATTAACGTTGATATGATTCAACAGCTGGGTGAGATATCCGCATTGTGAATCAAATGGATAGATACATTGTTGGTAAGTGAAAAAGTACTCCGACATTTTTTGGTTATGCTTTATCTTCCACTATACAGGTAATTATAGTGTACACTATACGAGCTAAATTCAGCCGCCTTTTTAAATACATAAATAAATACCCTCTATATTAGTACGGAGATTTTTTTTTTAAACACACCACACAGAGCGACGTATGTATAATTAATAGCCAAGAATATTGCCTGAATTGTATAAATAACCAAAGGTTCGTCAAGCAAGACGCAACAATGTATAATACCGTCAATCGAGCAGGTGGTTAATCCACACGACAGGCACAGTGTAGTCGGGCCGAGGAGTGTTACAGCTGTCAGTGCTATGAATAGGAACTACGGTGAGGTGTGACGTTCCCGGTATTCGTGCTGGGGGATGATTTAAAACAACACAGGTGTATACAATTTACATCACTGCGCGCACATTAGAGACTGACAACACAAAGGGATGCGGGAGTTCTGCGATCAGCGTGCGGCATGCTAGCCAGGGCTGGACGCGTGAACGTAGAGACGTGTGTGTGCGCGTGCGTGTGTGTGTGCGTGCGCGTGTGTGTGCGTGTGTGATTGAACTTATTTAGCCAAACGTGCTCATCGGAGGCGCGGGGGTAAGAACAACAGGGTAAAGACAAAACGTAGCACTGTATTACTGGCAGTTTTATGTTACTCGTGAATTATGCAAGTTGACATCAATATAATATTACACGTGTGTGTGTGTGTGCCAGGTGACCTGCATACGACATTTAAACCAACCTGTAAATATATGAATAATAGTAATGAACGTACGGACAATTAAAATACGGTTCCATTACGTGTGCCATCCTTGTATCAATCACGTCGCTCGTTAAGTAGAAAACCAATTCCAGGTTGTAAAGAAATTACATCACAAGCGCGTACCAAATCGTCATCGGGTAACTTGACATCATCGTCGTTGTCGTAAGGGGGCAGCGGAGTTGGCGGTGCCGTTTCTTGGAATGGCCTCGCGTCTCAATCCAGGGCGTTTTTTTTTGTCGTGTGCGCGCGCAGCGAAATTTTGTTTTAAAAAAAATATATATAGTTTTTGTAAAGCCATGAGTAACATCGCGTTTGTTTGACGTGCATCTGTTGAAAGGCTTCAATGAAACATTAAGGGGGGCCCCTCCCGCAATTGCGGCCCACCTCCCCCCCCCCCACGTAAGGGCCGACTAACCGACCGCACTCACTCTGTGAATGATGCCAAAGGCCGCACACTAAATGTTTCCCTTCCGCTCACTTTATATATATTACACGCGCACACACGGGGCGCCGAACACTTGCTGCATAAAGGCTACTCCCCACGATTCTGATCAGTTTCCTGGAACGGAGAGAGGTCGAAAAATAACTTGGCCGAAAAGGATAGGAAATTTTAGACTCTTTCTTTCCTCTTTGTTGCTGTGCGCCACGCTTGCGCGTGAGTGCGCGCGCGCGCGTGTGTGTGCACACGTGTGTCCGTGTGTGTGTGTGTAGGTTTATAGACGTGTGTATGTATATGTGTGCTCGCGTTTCTTTTTTTTTGTTTTCCAGGTATCGCAAAGTTCCACGTGGAGTGCGCTGCGGGCGCGTTAAAAGCCGACGTTCCGGGAGGCAGGATGCGAATGCGTTCAGAGGAGTGATGCGCTACCATGCGTACAGCCCCTGTCTGGTGAGCGCTCCTCAGCCCAAAAGGCGCCGGGTTGACATCGGCGTCAGGAGGACGCGACCGAGACAACCACAACAACAACAACAACAGCAGCAGCAGCAGCGGCGGCAGCGACAGCTTCTGATAGACAAACCAGAGGGCAGCAGCAGCAGGAGGAGCAGCAGCAGCAGGAGAACAGCGGTGGAAGTGAGCAGGCTCGGCTCTCTGGACTCGGCTCTCCTCGGAGCGACGCGGCTCTTGCCCGCGGGCATGAGCACGCGGAGCCCGCAGGGAGACGAGGAGCATAGCGACCGCTTCGTGCTGCCCGGCGGCGGTGGCGGAGAGGGCACCACAGTGCTTCGGAATCTACTCAAGAAGGGGGCAGCGGCGGCGGCGGCGGCAAGCGTCATGTTCGAGGAGCCACCTCAGGCGCCGTCCTACGGCCAGGGTTCACTTTACTCGCAACTGCTGCACAACGGCGTGCCGCACAACGGCTTCGGCGTCAGACCGTCGAGCGCAAGCGTCGCGGGAGTGAGCGGAGTTGGTGGCGGCGTTGGTGGCTTCAGACCGCCCAGCGTGACCGAGTCGAATTCGGACGACAATCGCAGCGACTCGTCGGGCGACTCCTCGTGCCCGCGCGAGAGAGCGGCTCCGCCCGGCTGCTCCGTGCAGTCGGGCAGCAGCGGCGGCGGCGGAGGCGGGCCCGGCCACCACGGGCACGACCTCCAGGCCAAGCGGGCCCGCGTTGAGAACATCATCCGCAGCATGAACGCGCGCAGCGGGGAGCCCGAGAGGGGTGACCGACCCACGAGCCCCCGGGGGAACAAACGCAAGCAGCGGCTGCCCCTGCAACAGGCGGGCGGGGAGGCAGAGGGGCAGCCCGCGGGTAACCCGGGAGTCGTTGGGGAGCAAGGAGTTCCTCGTCTTCATCATCATCAGCAGCAGCAGCAGCTTCATCATCATCTGCAAAAGTTGCAGCAGGGAGACGAGGATGAGCACGGGGAGCACGAGAAGGAGGAGATGGACGACTTGGCGCTCTCGCAGTTGCCCGCGAGGCTGCAGGTGAAACGGGAGGAGAGACGGCGGCTGAAGCGGCAGCTGGAGGAGATGCAGAGACAGCTACGACGCCTGCGTCAGCAGTTCTCGTTCGCCTACGACGACAGTGAAGAGTCGGGGGAAGAGGAGCGGGGCGACGAGGCGGACAAAGACGGGGGAGGTGCGGAGAGAGACAAAGAAGACGAGGAGATGGAGGAGGAAGGACAAGGTGGTGGTGGTGGAGGAGGAGGTGGTGGAGTTGGTGGTGGTGGAGGAGGTGGTGGTGGAGGTGGTGGAGGTGGTGGAGGTGGTGGAGAGGGTGATGACGATGTTGCGGAGGACAGCTGCTCTGAACGCGCGGGGAGCACTGGGGTCGCCCCGCGCTCCGTGGCCGAATCCTCTGACAACGAGATGATGGATGACTCGGAGACAGCCGCGAGCTACCGTCGGCAGCGACTGCAGGACGTCCCAAATCTTCATCCACATCTTCATCAGCAGCAACAGCAGCTCCTCCTCCAGCCAGAACATATGGACGACGACCTCGACGCACGCTACGACGACCACGACGACGACATCTCGGCGCCCTTCGGCCGTCGGTCCAGCGTGAACGACGCTGACAAGGACCTTCAGGAGATGCAGGTGGACGAGCGGCACGGTCAGCCCATTGAGCAACAGCAGCAGCAGCAGCATCAGCAGCCAGCACGGGCCCATGCGGACAAGGAGCGCGGAGAGGAGTTGGCTCACGCCCTGAAACACGAACTCTCCAGGGCGGTCGCGCACGTGGTGGACGTCGTGGTGAAGACCTTCTCGCCGCGTCCCGGGGTCCCGTCCGGCGGGGCGAGTTCTTCCCCGTCAATGAACGTCGTCGTGGCCGCATCGACCTCCACCTCCTCCTCGACGGAGCGAGCGGTGGAACATCACCACCCGCTGCGCCTTTCCGCGTTGTCCGGCTCCAGCAGCAGCAGCAGCACCGCCACCACCGCCACCACCACCACCACGGCCATCACCTCCAACATCGCCAGCGGCAGCAATAGCCACCCAACCATCACGGCTATCAACACGACCAACGCCAACAGCACCGCCACCACCGCTGGCACCGCCGCCGTCAACAACACCAGCATCACCGCCACGTCCGCATTAACGACCTCGTTTTCATCCTCGTCTTCATCCTCCTCCTCGTCTTCGTCGTCGTTGTCGTCGAACGGCGGAGAGGCGAGCAGAAGCGCGCTGCAGCGCGGCCTGACTCAGCCGTACGGCGGCGGTGGCTTCAGTGAGGCACACATGGGCAGCAGCAGCAGCAGAACGCGAGCCCCGCTCACCTCCACGGACCAAACCGAGGCGCTGCCCCTCGTTGTGCGCAAGACCTCACCTCCTGCTGCTGCTGCTGCTGCTGCTGCCGCCACCGCTGCCGACCACCACCTCCACAACCTCCATAGCCACCACCACCACCTTCAGCAGCAGCAGCAGCAGCAACAGCAGCACCACCACCACCTTCAGCAGCAGCAGCAACAACAACAGCAGCACCACCACCACCAGCAGCAACAACATCAACAGCATCAGGCTGCGGCGATCTCCGCCAACCAGATAGCGTTCCCGACTCACGGACTTGCGCTCGGCATGCCGCCGCCACCGCACTTGGGACCGCACCTCGGTCTGCCCGGCCACCACCCGGCCCTGTCGCCGCACGCCTTGCCGCACATCCCGCAGATGGCGTACTTTTTGCACAGCAGCCTGGCCGCTGCCGCCGCGGCCGGCGTCGGCATGGCCACGCGAGGCGACCAGCGGGTGTCGTCGGCCGAGCAGGTGGTGCTCTTAGAGGCGGCCGCAGCGGCGGTGGCACGCGATCAGTCGGTGCGGCCACGCGGCAAGGTGTCGTCGCTGGGCCCTCTCCACCACCATCACCACCACCACCACAACAATAACAGCAACAACCCGCATCACCATCACCACCACCAGCAGCAGCAGCAGCAGCAGCACCACCACCACCAGCAACACCACCACCACCAGCAGCAGCAGCATCATCACCTCCACGTGCCCGCCCAAGCGTTCGGCTCCCGCTCGTGCTCACCGCCGACTCACGGTCTGTCGCTGTCCATGGTGAAGGCGGAGAGCGGAGATCTGCCCGACACGCCAGATATGTCGCCTTACTCCGCGGCCACGATATCCTTTTTTGTGAGAGATGCGCTTGGGGGTAAGTGATGCGAGATGAACTTCCACGTGGTATGTGTGCGCGTGTGTATGTATGTGTGTGTGTACATGTGTGATGCTCGCTTACAGCACTTGCCCCAAAAGTCTGTTCAGGCTACGCGGGGGTAATCTTTGTATTTGTACATGTGGGGAACGGTGGCGCAGTGGTTGGCGCGCTGCGTTACGAACCCGGCGAGCCGAGTTCGATTCCCGCTGACGATCAATAACGGTGGTGGAAAATATTTGAACGGGTACCTATGCCTTTCCTGAGTTGGCTCAGCCTCAAACGAATAACCCGGTGCGGTGTGTAAAACATCAGCGGTGGAGAGACAAAGGCGGCCGGCCGTGGAGCTGGTCACCCCCCCCCCGTGTACCGTACCAGCAGCCTTCATAGGTGTTCGCTAACAACACTTGCCCCAAAAGTCTGTACGTGTGGGGATTGCAGAACGATGCTCAGCGTTTCTGTTTAGCCCCAGCAGTGTACCGAAAGAGGTAATTGTAATCTTTAATGCTCTGTTGAAGGGACGTTTCCTGAAACGTTATTTTGCTGCGTGAAGATGTTTGTTTTTTTAAAGTGACGAGGGCAGGAAAGTGTTGGCAGATTTAGACAATGACTGAGTATAATACGGGCTATTATTAGATAATCACGTATATGTGTTAAATGACTTCATTGACGGAGCCCTGCCGTTGAGCTAAGTCTAACTCGCTTTTTTAAAGAGGTGACTCATCTATTAACGTGTGTACATATGATACGGCAATTAATATGAAGTTAAGAAAACATGATCTCCAATTTAAATAATCTGCCTGAGTGTCGGGTCGTATATAAATAGGAGTGGGGAGAGGTAGCGGCGTGGTTCAGCGCGCTACGAACCCGGCCACCCGAGTTCGATTCCCGCTCACGACAAAATCACAGTGGCAGCGGATATTTGAACCGGTCCTGGGCCTCCCCTCGGTCGACTCAGCCTTAAACGAGTACCTGGCGCGGTGTGTAAACATCGCCCCGTCGTGCGCCCTGTCGGCCTTCATAGGTGCTCGCGAACGGCACTTGCCCCAACAGTTTGGTAAGGCTACACAGGGAATCTTTGCGTTCATTTTTTTTTTAAATATATAGAGATAGCTTTAACACCCGCACGCATTGCTACTGTTTAAGTGGAAACGTTGAATTGGGATTCGCCATAATAAATTACGTAATTACCTCTCGGACAATGCGTAGTAACGGTTTGAAGGAAACAAGGAGACGATACGTCTCTATAATAATGAGTGTATATACGCAGCTCAGCGAGTGGTGGCGTACTTGGTTCGCTTAATAAACCCCGCTGCCGACCTGACCTGGGTTCGACTCCCGACGACTCTCTTAGCCAGTCCAGAGTGTGTCAAACAACCCCTCAATAGCCGACACAGCGTGCGGAGGGAGGTGCAGGGGGGTTCATCCAGCAGTGGATTGCCAAAGGGCTGTCAAGTATAATTACTCGTTGGTATTACATGCACAGTGGTTAATGATTGATTAGGTCCGTTGTGAATACGTAAATATCACCACCCATTCGCGCTCGATGCTTTTCAAACAATATACAATTCATAGCACGGCCAAAACGAACACTTGTAGCGTTGCTAAAAAAAAAATAAACAGACCCACCAATTCCCCCAACGGTTGCACGTAGATTCATTCCGGCCATAGGAATGTGGAATTTCCACCGCTGACTCGTGCTGGGCTGTTGTTAATACGAGGTCGAGCACCGCGGGCTCGGCTGATTTGACTCTCACTGTGACTTCTGTCACGTGTGAAACCTCTGTTGTGAAATATTTTCGGTCGTGAGAAGCCTGGGTGTCAAACTCCAGTGTGGCTGTGCGCGCGCGCGCGGAAAAAGCTGTGAGAGTCGCGAGTTTCTCATTGATATCCTTCAGAGACAACACCGAGGTTCTCTGCTCACAGTCTGTCCGACACAAAGTTTCGGTCAATAGAAGGGGAAAGAATGGGAAAAAAATAGTATTTGAAAAGTTGCTTTTAGGGGTGTAATTATCGCGCTGCCGTGACGTCACCACGGCACCACGTTAAAACGTATGGGAGTGACGTCACAGCGGGGCAATAATGACGAGGTTTGACGGTAGGTTTAAAGTCAGATTTTTGGTTTGTGAGTGTACGTTGTCCGAATAGACGAAGCTTCACCGGCGTTGTATCTGGCAGCCCGGGATTGAGGGGGGACGGATGGAAGGGCACATGGGGGGCCATAGATGTAACGACAGTAGAGTACAACCTTAGATTGCTACAATCTTGATTTGAAGCTTTCGTGACTGCAGGAATCCATGTTCTCTTTGTTTTTTTTTTCCGGTGAAGATTGCTACACTTGACATTATATGTGTACACACACTGTGATAAACATATCAATCCAGTTATTGCATAAACAAACACAGCGCATGAACTATGCAAAACGGCAGCGCGAGCGGAGGTTTTGATGGATGGGAATTGAGAGAAATAAAAATATGTAAATCGGTCGCTGTTACGTGTCTCTAAAAACGGTGTATATTTAGTCTTCCATCGACCTCGCTAAACAAATATCTGCACGTTTTCCAATTCTTGGTACGTGCTCTCGCTCTCTGCGCTGTCGATGATTAAAAGCCCCGTATTTCGGGTAACAAATGAAGAATATCATCTTCCGCATCTCCATCAAGCCATTTTATTGAGCGCGTTCGCCTCGAGTTAATCCCGCCACAATTCGTTTCGAGAAGGACCCATTTGCAGGGGCGGGCGGTGGTCGAACCTTCTGGAACTCCCATCAGCGAGGACAGCAGGTGGTGGTGGCGCTCGTGAAAGCAAAACGACAAAAAGGCTGCTTGTTTATCACCCCCCAAGACGTTCTTGGAGAGGGCCGCTCCCTAAATATGATATACCCCCCCCCCAAAACCACATCCCCCTACGGATTTTATTGCATCGCGCGAGCAACTTACGAAGCAAATGAATAGACACGAGAGAGCCGTCGTGATAGGGTTAGGCTCAAATTAAACTCTTTGTGGGGGCGGTGTTGCGATGCGAACCCCTGCCGCATACCCGAGTTCGATTCCCGCTCACGGCCAACAACACCAGTGACGAATAATCTGCACAAGTCCTGGGCCTCCCCTAGGTCGGCTCAGCCTCAAATGAGTCCCCAGTGCGGTGTGTAAACATCGCCCCTGGGGGAAACAAAGGCGGCCGGGGCGTAGCGTCGGCCACGTCATCCCCTCTTGCACCGTTGGGGCTCTGCACGGGTGGTCGCTAAGAGCGCGGTTTTTTGTTGTTGCTCTTTTCCCTTCCCCATCAGCCTGTTGAGGCTATACGGGGGATCTTTTTCCTTTGTCTGGGGAGGGTAGCCATGGGTCGCATTGGAACGACAGCGTCAGGGGGGTGTTGTTATGACAGACGCATTAAGGGAGCCCGATGCCTTATTGCTCTGGGGGGACACTTTTCCGACGTTAAGCGATACCTCAGATACAACGCGCCACGGACTTTGCACGCAAATAGACTTCGCGCTTAAGGCTCTCGACTCTTGTCCCAGAGAAGGTGGGTGGGGAGGGGTGGGGGGTTCTGGAAGAGAGAGGGGAGCAGTGGGGAGGGGTGGCATGGGATAAAATGGGGAGGTTGTAATTCATCTTCACCATCACAGAGTGGTGTGGCTTGCTCATTCGGTTATAGGCCGAGAAGGTTAGGCGACCTGCTTTCGATGTAAGATCGTCGTGGGCATCCTCGAGGTTGACTCGGCCTGAAATTTGGTATCCCGTTCGACGTTTTGGTTTATGTCTAACCAAGGTCCGTGCCTCCTCTCATGAGTCCAAACTCGGCCTGAATTAAGTACTGTATCCATGAATTAAGTACTGTATCCATGAATTAAGTACTGTATCTATGAATTCAGTACTGTCTCTATCTATGGCCGGATGCTTTTTTCATGCCTGAATTCGGCGTGGGCCTCCCTTAGGTCAACTCGGCATAAATTGAGTACTGTAGCTTTGCGCGCGGTGTTTGTTTGTTTGTTGTTGTTCCATAGCTTTGCAGAAGTGATGGCACCACGGGGTGCTCGCTAACAAACGAGGGAATGTGAAGGGGGTGATCAGCGTCATGGTTCAAAGTCGCTACTCATGCATCTGTACACACGGTCACATTTTGAGGCTGTGTGTGTGCGGGTTATCCGATTACCAGCGTGCACACAGATGGTTTGTTGTAGGGCGCTTGCAGCGATGTGGTGTGAGGAGCAGGGGTGCTGTGTAGCACAATACATTGTTGTACTGTACTTCTGTGTCTACCACGTCTATGCCTCCCCCCCTCCCGGCCCGGGCATTAACTACAACCCGCATTGACCATCGTGGTGAAGTATGGTCAAACAACCATTGAGACCAGCATGGTGTAAAGGGGATGCCCTCACGCAGCAGTGGGTTGTCACGTGGGATTTACATGCGAATGATCTACACAAAGACAAATATACCACGTGTAGCCTTCAACAAACTGTTGGGGCAAGTGCTGTTAGCGAGCACCTCCGAAGGCCGACACGGCACACGAGTGGGTGGGTTGAGTGGCCACCACACCACGCCTGGCCACCGCCGTCTTCCCAGGTCTGGTTCTAAGTCTCGGTCGTGGTGCCGTGCGCTAACCACTCCACTGCCACTCCCCACTGCGCACAAAATACACACACACACACACCACTTAAAACGCACACGCACAACGCACGCACACCAGCGGTGTACTTGCACACGAGTTGGGGACGCGTGACAAACAATAGCTGTCGTCAGATCGTACGTGCTCTGCCTGGCGAGTCTCCCCCCCCCCCCTCTCCGCACCCTCTCTCTCTATGTACGTCTGCGCGTGTCGTCTATATGTAGAAGGGAAGAGGTCTATAATTAAAGTTTCTACTGGAGGGGAGGGGGGGGGGTGTTACAATGCTCTTTGCGCTAAAGTGAGACCGCTCGGAAGGGTTTCAACAAATGAGCTCAGAGTGCGGCCGGTTGTCGTG